TATGAGTTGCAATTAGAGTTAATTTGAAGTTTTGCTTTCTACGCCACAGATCCTGAGAGCATTTCAATGCAGCTTTTAAAGAATTTTAAATCATTCTCATTTCCCCCAAAGAGAACGTGTACAGTTTTTACCAACACTTAATAACTATAATTTTGGGGGGACAAACATGGTTGCTCTAAAAAACGTGCACCTGTTGAGAATAAGCCCCTTTATTTATCTCCCCAGAAAATTGTAAGAGGCGTACGGAAGTTACTTTACCTCTACAAAGAAGGCCACACAGAACAGGGTGAGGGCTGCCACCAAAATCGAAACCCTCCATGATGTGATGGTTGGGATGAGCTGCAGAGAGAGAAATACCACTTTATAATTTGCATACTTTAAACTTGAAAAAACCGACATATTAATGATCTTATCTAATTGATATATTTGTAACAACTCTCTGGGCATGGCAAGTAGGCATGATATTTTTCCACTTGACAGATGAGAAGGCCAGTACCTTGCCTAAGGACTCAATAAATAAATGCCAATAAATAAATGGCAGAGCCAGGATTCAGTGGAGAACTGACTGCCTCTTGGCCTGTGCACCTCCCCGGCCTGATGACAGATGTGGAGTAAACGCGCCCTGGGTCACAGCCATGAGACAGGACTGCTTTGGGGCCTCTGTGTCTCTCTCTTCATTTTTTACCTTTTCAAATAGAAAAAGATTAAATCATTCAGCTAATAATATTATTACTTCTAATTTTCCTAAAGCAAAATCTACTTAGAGTTCATTCTTTCAGTAAAATTGACACATGAGTAAAAGAAACAAAAGGGGGCCAGAGGCTCAAGTTTATTTTGATAGAAACTCGGTGAAAAAATTTTGAACCAATGTTCCCAGCCCTAAATCTAATGACTTGATGAGAGTTGAACCCACCCAACCAACCTCTTTGTAAGGATTAAAGGATATGCCTTGACCACCAGCTACACTTATTGAATAGACGTAAGAGCTGCAAGTTCCCATGGCCGCATCCACAGCAGAAGGATAGTTATGCAGCCCCCTTTTTGACCCTAAAGGGTAGAGAATGTGTAGGATGACTCTGTAGGGGAGGAGCTGCCTTTGGGACTAAAACCACAGACCCCCGGCAGTGTCTAAATGCTCACTTTTGATTCCCATCCCTATTCTGATGTGGGTTATTTCAAAGTAACACTATGTTTGTTTGTTTTTTTTCCCTAAGTGGAGACAGCCTTTCTCAGGGTTGTGAAATAGGTACCCCGGGTGCAAGGGTTGTTTGAAGAAGTCTGTAGGATATGGCCGTGGGTCAGATCATAATGGGGAACCTGGCCCTTCCCCTCACTGCTGCCACCACCCTCATCTGGGAGGTCTCCTCTCCAGCCCTTGGCCTGGAAGGCACTGGCCACACTGCCTTGGGATCATCTGCTTGTGTGATTTTCTTCCCTCTCAGCACCTGAGCTACTTGAGAGTGGTGACCACATCTTACCCATCTTTGTAACCCCAGTGCCAAGCACACTCTGGAGCTTCATAGTGTTTTGAAAATGACTGAACGGTCTAGGTTTTCATTTCCTTACTGCTTCTCTCCCACAGCCTCTCTGCTCTCATACACAGCCTTCCTTCTGCCATCTAATTAATCTGTCTTAAGTGCCCTGCTGAAAACCTGCTCAGATATCTTCAGTGACTCTCGTTGCTCTCAGCACAGAGTCCAAACATCACTGGCTGCCTTCATCCATCTGTGCCTTCCTCATATTCTACTGCCTGAGTCTTAGCTAACCTTCCAGGGCTTCTGTGAAACATGCCTTGCTTTGGAGTTTTAGCTCGGCCACCCTACATTCTTTTGCATTTCTGAGACAAAAGAGATTTGCTTAGCCTTCTGCTTGTGCTTAGGCTGTTCTCCTGGCTGGGAATACCCTTGCCTACTACTTTGCAAAATCTAGCCCATCCTTTCGGACCCAGATCAAGTTGTATCCCCTGCATGAAGCCTCTCATGGCAGCCACAGGCCCCAGTGAGGCTGCTCCTTCCTATATTCTTCCCGCTTCTATCTGACACTCTTTACAAGTATGATGACCTCAGGTGGCGATGCCACCATTTCCCTTGGGTCTGGTTCATCTTTGAAACAAAACTATAGATTGGAGGTCAAGGGTCAATCTTTACCTTTATTTCTCCCACAGTACTGGGTCCAAAAATGGATTCAATAACTATTTATAAAATTATTAAATAATTTAATAAATTTAATTTTATCTCAGTGCACCCTGATCCAATGATGCTCATTGAACTAAAACTCTCTAAATGGGGAGGGTGTAGCTCAGTGGTAGAGTGCATGCTTAGCATGCACAAGATCCTGGGTTCAGTACTTCCACTTTAAAACAATTAATTAAATTACCCCCCGCAATTGCCTAACCCTCAGAAAGCAACTAAAACTCCCTATAATCAACATCTGACAGGTGGAACATGATTGGCCTATAAACCAACTTTTTCTTACTCTTCACAACTACATTATAAAGGATTTCTACTATATGATTAAAAAATTAAAGAATTAATTATTGTATTAATGCATTAATTTCATTGTATTAGTATGACATGGAAGAATAAAGTATCCAAACATGGTATCTCAGGCATGAACAGGACAAATGGACCCAACTAATAGTACTAACAACACGAAAACACTCAGAGGCCAGCCTCTGTGGGATCGAGCTGTGCTATTTGCTCTTCTAGTAAACGGGCCACACTATTCAGCGGCCAGAGAGAATATAAGAGCGACTGACATGCAAATTACAATGTGGCCCCCCTGCACATGGGAGTCACGGATACCACGTACCTCCATTCCATGGTATATATCTTGAAAATCAGAAAACAGAATGAAAATTGTGAAGCCCAAGGCAGACACCAGCAGAAAGGAGAATATATCTGAAGAAACAGCAAACATTATTTTTAGATGCTAAAGGAATGTTTCCTATAATTTGGCACACATGTTGCAGAATCAATTAACTCTGTTGTGCAAATACTGGATACATCTTCAGATGTTTTGATATATCCTCATATGTTTTAAAATATGTTCTAATGCTTGCAAGACAAAGGTGATATCTTATAATCTTTTCTTAAAGAGCTGGGTGTAGAAAGCTGTTAATTAAATATATACTAGTAAACTCTATAAAGGAGTTACCTCCACCAGGAAGTCCTTGGGCTGGGACACCCTGCAGTGACCAGCCCATGTAAATAAATGGTAACCAGGGAGGTCTTGATGCTTTGTCATGGCGGGTCTAGTGAGTTGCGCACAAATACATAAATGTAACAGAGGAACAAACCTGCCTCCATATTGGACCTTTTCCTTGAGCTCTAGTCTTTTTGCTCTGTAGCCTGTGCTTAGTCATGCTGACTCTGCACATTTGTAAAAGGATGTTACCTATAGTTTGAAATATACATGATAGCCTATTCTCAAGGCTCTGCCTCCCGGGCTTGATCTTTAAAGGTATAACACATTTCCATTCATAGATAAAAAGTTGCAGAACAGAGAACAACATTTGTCTTGTTGGAGGTTTACAGAAGCACTGTGACCAGACCTATACTGACAGCTGCAAGAACAAAGGATTCTGGCACCAAGAAGTTTGCAACAACCAGCCACAGTCCCTCCCTCCCCTTTTAGTATAAAAGAAGCCTGAATTCCAACTCGAGTAAGATGGTTCTTTGGGACCCTAGTTTACCATCTTCTCGATCTGCTGACTTTCTGAATTAAGTTCTCATTCCTTTTCCCAACGTTGATGGGACAAGGAATGTTGTTCTCGTCTGTTGATCTCCCTGTCACACAGAGAGCAGTGTGAGCTTGAACTCCATGACGTAGTCAGTCCTCTTGGTGGCACCTGACTCCTCCTTGTTGCCTGGAGAATAAGGTCCAAGATCTCCAATGATTGACATGCCAGGCCTTCCAGAGTCTGGTTCCAATCAGCCTTTCTAAACTGATCTCTGATTGCTCTTCCTATGTGCCAAGAAAGTTCAACCACAAACCTGCTGCTTCCACAGAGGCCCAACACCTTCTAGCTTCAGTGCCTTTATTCACAGAATACCCTGTGTAGATGCTGTTCTTCAGTCCTGGCAAGTTCCAGTTTTTCTTAAAAAGCTCAGTTTGTAACCTGACTATACTTCAATAAAAATATGTATTAAAAAAAGCTTGGTTCCAATACCACTTTCTTTTAAAGTCTCCCCAATCCTCCCTTACAAAGTTTTATTTCATGTGGTGTGTATCACACTCTGCTTGGCATGATCTCCACTTATGTATCCACTAGACTGTAATCACCTGAAAGGGACTTTGTATCTGCTTCTCTGGGACTCTGAATTGAAAGAGGAATTGAGAAAGTAGCACGCACATCTGCTGGTTTCTTTCTCTCTAATCTGCCCCAATCACTGTACTTTGGGGAGCTAAACTTCTCAGGATGTGTTGTGCCAACATCCCTGTTCTTATCTCCCCTACCCCATCCACTTCGGTGTCCATCAGAGCTTTCAAGCACTTTGTAGACAGCACCTTCTAAATGTTCTTTGATGGGATTAGCACCTTCAGGCCCCAACAACAGCATTTAATCAGTGTTGCTGTGCTATAAATGATTCTTACAACCGTCAGATTTATGAACAAGCAAACTACGTTTTCTCTTATTTATTTTCTCTCTACCTCATTTATTCCAGTGTTGATAGTCTACTGGCCCCCAACTCTACATAGTTCTATACCAACTAGAAGTCAGAAGCGATGTCCCTCTACAGTAGGCTCTATTTTTTGAAGCCATTAGAGCTGTAATTTCACCTACATGCACCCTCATATTCACCCATGACTCATTTTACATATACAACTAGATGCATCACCTCCCGGAGGAATACTCAAGCTTACTTGGGAGGGGAGTGAGGCAGAGAGAAGAAAAAAGGGAGATGCATCTCTTAAAATAAAGCAATCTGAGCAGCTTGGTGAAAAGAAGACCCTATGAGATGGCTGTGTAAGTCTTCATGTACTTTATTGTTTCCAAGTCCCAAGGACCCAGATGTGGGGATGAAGATGATGCCGCCAATGTCCATACTGATGAAGGCCTGGTACTCACTAGAACTGGGCTGGGTGCTCTGCACATCACACCATCCTCAGACCAGTGATCTGAAGAGCAGGCCAGGCTGGTGCACAAGGGAGCAGTGTGGAAACAGAATAAGGCTCCCTTCTTCAATTCAGCTTTGATTGGAAAACACAAGATGACTTGAAGTGAATGTTGCCCTTCCTGGTTAGTTGCTATTGATGCGGAAACTCAAAAGGATGGGGTTCTGTTTGCACAGGTGATTTGGAGACAAGTCCTGGGCCAGCCATTACAGATTATTCTCAGATAAGAAAAGGGTTAGTGAATATTCCCTCCTGTTTGCATAAAAATTAAATCTGTACTTTTTCTGTATCTCATCATCATAAAGTTGACATTCTGTCAAAGGCTGTTAAGAAGGGTCAGGACTTTTTTGTTCCATCAAAGTAAAACTGCTTGTGTATTTTAACAGTAGTTCCAAGGACTTTTGACTTCTAACCTTGAGAGTATATAATTTATTGTATGATTGTGTCTGTTAGAATGTATTTGTAAAAACTGTTTTTCACCTAAAATTATCAGTTATGTTTGACATCGGGATTTGAATTTACCCATAAGCTTTAAGTCGCTATGATGTAACAAATCCAGCTGTAATTAACTCAATTTATGTAGAAGGACTCTGCGGCTACCAATCAAATTAAAGTGCTGGCCGACATAATATAGCCTCCTTGTAAAGCACGTTTACAATAAAATAGATGACTCTGAACTGAAAACATGAAACGGAATCATGGTTTGTTGTGAGAGAAGCTGGGGAATTATCAAATACTATATCAAAATTTAATAAAAATAAAAAAATTTGGGAAGAAATTCATTTAAAAAAACTATAATTAAAAGAAGATCTTAGCATGCCCTCAAAATCTTTGACAAAACACCTATACAAAAAAGGTGGGGGGGGGATGAAAACTGATACATATGAATTATATAATTGCTAAAACTAATTTATGTAGTAAATTATGTTTCTAATTTACGAATAAGAATGGATGTCTCTAATACCTATGACTTTTTTAGAAAATCAGAAGTCAGAGGATATTCCGGATGATGTATAAAACTGGAGTAAATTTTCCAAAGCAGAAATATTACAGGCTAGATTTTCTCTGATCATGACAATAAAATTAGAAATTATGAACCAAATTTAAATTAAAAATCCCTCCCACATACAAATTAAAAACAAAACTCTAAAAATTTGTTTGGTCAGTAAAGAAACTTAGTCCACTTGTAAGCTGTTGAGAAAAAGAGCCATAGAAGAATGAGAACAAAATCCCTTCCCACTTGAAAATTAAAAATCACTGTTCTTGAAACTAGTGAGTCATAATTAGAGACATAAGAATATGTAAAGAATGTAACCCAAATTACAATTATTGACCTTGAATGCTTTTCCAATTTCACAAGAATAAAAGAAAATACATGGATTATAAAATCAAGTCAAACATTTAAAAAATTTTCAAAGGAAGTAAGAAGAGGGGGAAAAATGGGAAAAGCAAAAATTAACAAATTGGAAACTAGAAAGTGTACAGAATTATTATATCTGAGAGCTTGTTATTTAAAGAAAACCAGTAAAAACACATTTCTGGTAAAAAAGAAATGAAAATAACACACATAAACATAATTAATATGAGAAGATATTAAAAGAGTTGTAGAAGGCATTAAAAATTATAGGAAAATACCACAGAATACCCTATGCTAAGATGTAATAATCTCAAGGAAAAGGAATTACCTGGGCAATAATTCGTTTTTATTTTAAGGAACAATTTAAAAAGAGGATAACCTAAATCAATTCTGAAAAAAGTGATTTTTTTTCAAAAGAAAGAATTTGGAACCAGATGATTTTACTGGGTTCTTGCAAGTGGTCAAGGAATAGACTATTTTTATCTATAAAATACATTTTTCAAAGGAAAGGAAAGGTCCAGGAGTTTCCAAATCTAACACCCAAACCTAACAAAACACTACACAGAAACCTACAGATCAACCCAACATAAAATACAGATATTTAAAAACAATAAAATTCAATTCACTAAAAGTGTAATCCACCACAAATAAGCAGAGTTTCCTGAAAAATATGAAGATGACTTAATAATAGATTTATTAATGGAACACATTCCAGCAAAGGTCAAAGGAGCAAATGAGTATAATCACCTCAGTAGGTGATGGGAAGTCATTTGATGAAATACATCTCTCATTCTTGATTTTAAAATATACTCTTGACTTACTAGAAATAGAAGGGCATTTTCTTTACATGATGTGACCTACTGGACTTAATATTCAAAATCACATTTGCAAGTGAAAACTGTAAGATATATTTTTACAATTTGAACTCTGCTATTTCCGTTATTACTTAACATTGTCCCGGAAATTCTGGATTGTACATGGAAACAGAAAATATAAATAAGCATTTTAGCTATTGGAAAGGAAGAAGGAACATTATTAATTGCAGATGATCATAATTATCTTTCTAGAACCCTCAAAAATCAAAGAGTAATAGCAAAGTTCAGAAAGAGTTCTGAATAGGAAATAAATACGATAAACAACACTGTACCTTTCACGAGTATTTGTGATTACCAGTTAGAAACTATAACAGGAAAAAGTTGATCACAATATAAGCAGAAATACAGATGGCATAGGACTAGTTGTTTAGATAGAGGTACAGGATCTATAATGGAGAAAACTATGAATATTTACTAAGAGACATAAAAGAAAGCATGAACAAATGGAGAGACATGACATGTTCTTAAATGTGAATACCAAATTGTGTAAACAAATAAATGTTTTTCCCTAGTATCAAAATCCCAAAGGCGATTTTTTTTTTTAAAAGCCTGGCAATTTATTCTACAGTATATTCGGAAGAATGAACAAGAAAGAAAAGTAAGAAAGTAAGAAAAAAATGAAGAGTAATAGGATGATACACCAATCTTACTATGTATTAAAACTCGTTAGAAAACTATAGTTTTTTAAGTATAGTGATAGATCAAGAAGAGGTTGGCCTATTAATGAAACAGACAACATAGTCTAGAAACAAATTAATTATATATAAATTAATACGTAAGTATACAACATAAATATAATATAGAAACTTATATAAGTTTACACACACACACACATATATATATCAGGAAACCATAAGTATACATGTGTATAGGTATGACAAAGGTGGCATTATATTCAGTTGAATAAATGACCAAAAAGAATATTAAATGATGGCATCTGCTGGGAAAACTAGTGACTAGCTGGATAAACTAGTTTGACCTTTACTTCAAACTATACGCCAAAATTAACATTAGATTTAAAAAAGCATTAAAATAAATTTAAAAAACTAAATGAGTGATGATCTATCTGATTTTGTAATGAGAAAAAACTGTGCATAAAAGCAATGGAAGAAAATCACAAAGGAATAAACAGCTCATACAAATAAATAAGAAATATAACAGCAGCCCAATAGAAAAAAAAAACGGATGAAAATGTAAATAGAAAATTCAGAGAAGAAGAAAGGCTAACAATACGAAAATGCATTCATTTTTACTGGGGATCAAAGAAATTCACAGCATGATTAAAGTGGCTCTCCCAAAGATATAAAGCTACTAAAAGGTCAAGTTGTATTTGAATTGATTAGAAAACCTCTTACAAAATATCTTGACATATATGGATGTGCTTAAAATAATTCTTGATGACTCAAATTAGGACAGGACTCTTGTGACCATTCAATATTGCACACATTTATCTGCATGTGAGCTTTCTGCCCGTGGGCTGTCCTACCTATGGCAAGTACCGTTCAGTACTCAATTTTACAGTAATGCAATTTTTTTGCTTCTCAGTCAATTGCTTCACCAGTGAGATGCAACTCGGGGGATGATGGAAGAGTAGGAAAAAAATATTTGAAAAAAAAACTAAACATCATACTTACAGTTTGTGTAGATGGGTTTTCGAAATGGCTTTCCCTTGGAAAAGATAAATGCTACTGTGATACAGTTGATGGTGGTGATGGGCCACAGGGTGGTACTCTCAAAACTTAAAACTGAACCAGGAATCAGAGTTGCATTTCCAGTCCAGTTTCTTTCCAAACTCACATTTGTTGAGAAATGACTCTGGTCGTTCAGAAAGCACTCACTACAAAAGAAATCACCAGCATTTATGGGACTTTTTGTTCTATGTTAATCCAGCTGGTGGAAAAGAATTAGTTAATTATTACCAAGGGACCTCATCTTTCAGGCTGTTCCAGCCAGTAACTACCAGAACATATTCTGTTCACCTCTTGCAATGACAAAGCAGAAATAAAATTCAGAGGAAGTCAAGATTGTTCTTCGACCAGAATTCCATTTAGAACAAATGATCGCTCTTGAAAGGGCTTGGATGACAATTTCCTATGGAATTACTTTCAACTCTGAGTCTATGAACTGTGTGCGGTGGTGGGGGAGGGGAGAGCAGTTGTGGTGGTTTGGGGTGTCTTTTCTTTCCTGGACTAATGTGAGCCTCCTAACTTGGATCCTGAGTTTGAATCTGCCTGCTCTAACCCATGCTCCTCACACAACCAAAGCCTCTTCTTCAAGATCCAAACAGGACATTCTCCTGCTTACGAGTGTCTATGTTTCTATTTTGCTAATGAATTAAGTTCAGACTTCTCAGGCAGGCCCAGAAGACCTTCGCACTCTGGTCTCAAGCAATTCTTCCAGCCTTATCTTTTGCCAGTCCTCCTATGTTCCTTATACTCCAAACATAGAGGGATATTCCCTGTTCCCCAACTTGCACAGCTCTGGGTCCTCACATCCTATTCCCTCTAATGTAACTCTAACCGAAACGTCCTTATGTTTGGTAGCCAGCGTGACTACTGCCCCCATCCTTCCCTCTACTGCTGCATTTAGCTCATTGTTTTGCCATTATTTTCTACCCCTGAGATGAGAATTTCCTGCACGTGGAATTTCTCCTTTGGTTTTTTTTTGTTTGTTTGCTTTACTCAGATTTACAACAAATGCTTAGCACTGAGCACAGAGATGCCATTTAATATTTGCTCAGAAAAACATTTAAGATACGGGCTTTCTCAATCCTGACTGATGTATTTGCAATATTCATTTTTTTCCAGCAATCAAACCGACAAACTAGTTCCCATCAGCTTTCTCGTTCCGCTTGAAACTTGTTACTACTTTTGTAACTGTTTATACATAAAATTCATTTTTCCTTTGTGAATTCAAATGTAAGACTTAAGTCTTATTATCCTTGGTTCCCTAGACTCCCGGAATGTGCTTTGCATAGAGTAGATGTTCAGTTACTGTCTGCACAATACATTAATGAAACAGTCAGTAGTCACAAAGTTTCCTTGTACAAAGGGGACAGAGAGACTAAAAGGCCTGAATTACAGAGCTTAATACCAAAATGTATCTAATGCAGTATGCTTGCATTGCAGATAAGAAAGTTCAGGACTAGGCTGGCATGGCTAGTTAATGATAGAAGCAGGACTGGCCATCTATCATCCTTTTGGCTATGCCACGTTGTCTCCCAGATTCAATCAGAACCCTGCTTCTCTGAATACACACACTCCAATTTGGGGAAAAATCTGGTTTTGAAACAAAAATGAATTTCTATATTGCAAGGAATACCCGAGTTGCTGAATATGGGGTCTACGTCATAATCTAATACATCATTGGGTAGTTTTCAATCTGTCCTTCACAGATTCCTGGGGCTCTGATACTTTCAATATCACTGGTGTGAGCAGGAGTTTGTACAAACC